AATAAGTGCCGGTCTGCTAAAGATTTTCAGTTTAGTGCCAGATAGGAATCTTTACTAGAAGTTAACGTGAAAACCTTTCAAGGGTTCAACAGTACATTTTTAAAATTACCTACGTGAAACTTGATCACTATAAATTCCTGAAGGTTGTAACTAAGTTTACTGCAAATGTCCCAGTTCGGGATCCACTGAAAAAATAATTAAATTTTCAAAAAGCTCATCAATGGCCTGAAAATAATTATGAGACAATTTATATTGGGACTTTTGAGTGTGATTCTTCAGTAGTTTACATACGATTGAGCGACTAAAAATGCAAATAATGTATAATTGATCGTCTTTCCCCACCTCGAAACATTTCAAAAATTCCTTGATCGGCTTTTGGATACTTTGCGGGTAGTTCCTCAGCTTCCTGAAATTCTTTTTTTTTAGGCACAAATGTGGAGTCAAGTCACCAGCTTTAACTTTCAGCCCCTTTATCGCTGACAATAAGTCATAGGCTTTTCTTAGATTTTAAGGTTCGAAGTTTTCATATGATTTTCCACTTTTCAGATGTGGTGATTGCTCACTTTCAGACACAATTTTGAAAGCTTCCCCAGTTTTCTTTTATTCGCTTAAAATGTTACACTTAATGTGCTTTTTATCCAAATCATTTTGGGTTTTCCTTTAAGCTTTGGACAATGTCTTATTTGATCCTTATATTAAAGTCAAGTTGGAAATTGAAAATATCTGAAACTTCAATCCTCGGACTTTCTTCTGAGTCACGTTTAGATTTACTTTAACTTAAAACCTTTTTCTTATATTTTATGTTGTATCAACAGCTGGTTTTGCATCAAACAATTAAATTTTAAATCGACTAAAAGCTGAATATATTTTGAAATTTTCTGAAAGCCATTCTAAAGAGACTTCGGGGATAAAGCACATCAATAAATCTTCACCTTTTTGTACCACTTTAATCGGCTTGCTGATGCTGAAAGTTTGATTTTATTTACAAATTTCTTCTTCTACTGACTTTGATTGTAAATATTTGGTTTCTGCAGTGCTATTTTCAGGCTAAACCCTGCACATGAGAACTAATGAGAGTGAAACCAGCTCTAGGTGTGCCTGAGATTAAAAGTTTTCCTAATTTTTATCCATTTCTTCAACTTTATTGTTAAAGGAACATTTTCATACATTTATTGATTAGAAATAAATTTGGCTATATTTTGAGATTTGTTATGGGTATATTTTTAGCGTACAATGCAAGGTTACTTTTCCTGATTAGTTATAATACTACCTAAATCCTTCCTTTAATAAGTGTTGCCGTTGAAACGTTTTTATCTGTAACTTATACAGTGATTTGTTACTCGAATATAACAGCCTGACAAAAAAATCAGTTTGTTTATCTATGTTAAAACAGTTCTCAAATAATTTGTAAGGAAAAGTTTCAGTCCTTTTTACAGGCACATTTTTTAAAACTTCTTAACGCATCTTACATTAAGCGGATTTTACATCTTTTTAGCTTGATTACAAAATCTATTTTCATTGAATCAAAATACTTTGAGAATTCCTCGAATTGAAATTCTGGAACCTGGTTGAAAACTTGACCTAATTGGCGACACAAAATATCAGATTCCAGAAAAGTAGATTGTCTTAATTATTTAGACAATTTGAGCCAAAATTTGTTGAGCCACCTTAGTGTTAATTTCTGGTTGCTCTTGGAGGCGAATTAATTGAAAAATTAGTTGGTCACACACGTTTTGCGTGTGATTAGCGATTATGTTTAATAAAATGGCCACAAAGCAAAACGTCGCTTTTCATTAATTAAAAACACAAACACCATGTAAAGAAAGGCGCACTTTTCGCAGTTTATCCAGGCTGGTAAACCAATTAGTAGAGTGTTTATTTTGCAAATCCCTCCAACTCATCTTACTCCTCCACATGTGTGAGAATTTAAATAACGAATACGTGGACCGACCTTTTTAATTAATAATCCCTAACGAGCGACAACAAAGTAATGGTATTAAAATGCTAATGTTAATTAAAAAACGTGACTGAATTCAACTTTATTGGATACATTCGTTTTTCGAAAAACGGTTGCACTTTTATGCGAAACTACCCCAAAGCGTCTTTGCATTATTATAGTGGGATAATGAAATCGTTTGAAATGTAGTGGAATTGATGCAGGCTCAGCCAGGAACATTAACATGTATGCCGCCCAAATACCAATAAAAGCTAATTAGTTAAACAGCAGAGAAGCAAATTGGTTTTGCATTTGCTTCAATCATTAAGGCAACCGCAAATTTTATTGGCTTTAAATTCAGTTAAATTTATTGCAAGTCCATGCAACTATAATGGAACTGTGACAATGCGTCGAATGGTTTAGCTATTTCGATGCAACAAAACAACCCAATCAGTCGGGAGGAAAGTGAAACTAATGAGGAAATTTATGTTTTTAAAGCTGATTTTTAACCGAGCAACCCCTTCACATTCAGATAGGAATGAGAAGCATATTTCATGCCTTGCCGACCTGCCAACGATAAAAGGATATCATTTTGACTGATTGTTATCAAGAATTGATGGGATCATTGATGAATAGAATAGGCCCGTTAATAAAGTCGGTTAGCGTAAAAAACACATTAAACGAGAATGGATCAATTGGGGCCGATGATTAATTAGCAGCGCCCTCAATTCCTCCTAATAAAAATTGATCGAAGCAGGACGCAATTTTAAAGAAAAAGTTCCAAAAAACAGCATCGAACAGAAACAGTTTTATTTGTATCATTGAAATAGAAACTACATTGGAAATAAATCCATAAAAATAATTTCATAGGCATCAGGGATTGCATATAATTTCCTCGAAGCATTATTCTGTCTCCGTGTCGAATATCTGAAATTTTGATTTTGACAAGCGAATGGTAGTGGAGCATTTGCGATCCTAATTGCAACAATAAATCAATCAACCTATACAAATATTGACACATTTAATTCCCAGGTCTGTAACATGCTATTATAATAGGCATATAGGCAATTTATATTAAAGGGTCGATCATTTATCTTTGTGTTCAAAGCATCTGTTCAAAGCCTCTCCGCAGTCTATCCTTGTTCGGTTCGAGAAAGCGAAAATTGTTTCTCCGCCAAGATATTATATTGATTAGCCATAAATTTTCAAATTCGAAGCTGTTTTTCCAAGTTTTCAAGGATACTGATCCAATCTGAAACTGAGCAGATTTAACTCAATCTAGGTGTTTTAGAAACATGCTAAGTAGCTCACATGTCTGCAGTCTAATAGGAGAAGATCTCAACCTGGAAGTTTTAGTTCGCTGAAAGTATTATCCTCACAAGAGTAATTATATAATGCAATGAGACCTTGCTTAGAACTTCGCTAATCATACTTATTCAGTGTTGTCTACGACTAATTACCCTAACAAGCTCTCCTAGAACTCATCTGAAACTGCACAGTGAATTATGAATAATTCTCCTTTAGCATTTCCTAGTTGGGCGAAATGAAAAAAGTTGTTGGAAACTAATTACAGGGCGTAAATTTAAATCTAAACCTGAAAACTAATTTCCTCCCAAGAAATTATTTATAGCTTAAGATATCACTTTAAGGTACGCTGGCCTGAATTTCGTGCACAGATAGTCTCCTTCAAACAGGGTCATAAATTTCAGACTTTTCTTTCATGGTCATAACTTGCATAGATTCATGTTCATTTATTTCCCGGGGAAACTCAACGGTAATTTCCAACTGTTTAGCCTAAAATTAATCATGAAATGTAAGCTTTCATGCCCGGTCTGAATTAGATCCTTCTTGCAATAAACGGCAGCAATACTAATTCTATCTGATGTTTCCTTTGAATTTGCGGAAACATTCACAACCGGACTAAGTGAGTTGTAATGTCTCCTTTTTCCTTCAGTCAGTCAGTTGTTTTCCTGTAGATTATCTGGTGTCACCTGAAGACGCAACATTAGCCTGATTCGACTTGAAACAGCCTCAACATTTACAAATTGCGCTTCCAAAGTCCGATGTTGTATTTTTCGCGATAACTACACGAAAAGATATCCTTTAAACTTTCCGGTTTGAGACAAAGGATACCTAATTAAGGCAAATCCCGGAAAACTTTAGCAATCTCTAAGCTACAATAAAACTTTAGTTTTCTGATTGACCGGAAACAGGTTTTAAAGTCTTTTTGGTAAATTAGCAATACAAATTACTAATTACTGACTTACGTTTATAGTTGTTCTATTATACTTTTATATATACATTTTATTATAAGACTATTTGATAGCTTTTTGCCGCCGATGCTCAAGAATTTTTGGGAAAGAAATGCAGATTACAGTTGAAAATTCGTCGCTAATCCCTATCTTGAATTGGCTAGGCCTATTTTCTTTCACTCGGGCAATTTTAAACAGAACGGGGAAATAATGCTAAAGTAAAGCAGGAAATTTTGAACTGATAAGCAAACTGCATGTTCTAAATGTTTACAAGCCAAACTCTTGGCCGAAATGAAAAAACCCGTTATTATCGTGTTTCCAAACTCCTGCTAATGTCATTTCGATTAAAGGGATAGTGGGCCTTTCTTGAAAAATTGTGGAAAAATGGTATCAAAAACAATCTGTAACAACAGGCATGATAAACCATATAACAGTTTGCTGCATATTTGCGATCATCTCCATCTGGTGATCTTTCAGCTTAAGTACTAGTTTGATGAAGGCAAGAAATAGTAACACTAGTCACAAAATCGTGTTTGTATAAATATATACGAATAAAAACATACAGAAAAAAAAACAACAGAAGTTTTTAATTTTGGGTTTTTGGGAAGAGATCTTTAGCGAAGTCACTTTGGATATTTTGAGAAAACGTTTTCCTTTAAGCAAATTTTTCCTTCACATCCAACATCAAACTTCAAACCTTCTAATCAACATAGAAACCTGAAGCTGCGAAGTGAGGATTGAAGCATTTCCGTGGAAAAATTTGCAGGTCTCCAATAAAACTCAGTCACTAAAAGTTTCCTCAGTGTCTTCAAATACCAATAGAAAACGTGCAATTCTAAGCAGTAAATGCATGAGAATATAATTATCTGCGAGCAATCCTTTCAAAAATTTTTATTTATTTTGTCGTCATTTCGCAGTGTTAATATCTATCGAAACAATCACCAAAAATAATTTGAGGCACGTTAGAGTTTAGCTCTCTGATATTTTCAACTTTGAAAATGAAAGATTACTTTAATAGAAGGCTGAGTGTATAGAACGTGCCTCATTTACCAGCAAAGCCTCACTATATGGCAACCGGAACTGTTTGAGCCCTTTAGCTTTTCTTGGATTTGCCAGCTTCAAATGGAAATTTCAATTTGGAAGCAGGGATTTCTTGTTTGATGTCCGAGAATTATTTCATATCAACCTAAATGCGCCAAATTGGAAATCGGACGATTAGTGATTAGATTGTTCGGCTTATGGATTCCATAGGTGCAGCATCAGAAGGTAATTCCAGTTTCGTTACATTCTGGAAATTTAATGCAGGTAATTAGCAAATACATGACCATGTGCATGCATTTTAACAAAGGACAGTGTACCTGCATTTGTGTGAACTGCATCCAAGTGTTTTATATGTATATTTTCTGCTGCAAATAAGCCGGGCAGAATACAGCAAAGTATAAAATATGTGCACAGCGGGCAACTCATATATCTCCTTGATAAGTGTCTTTTGTCCTTTTACGCCTACTCATTAGTCTAATGATCCCAGAAGTGATATGTTTAATTGGGAGGAAGCACTTTTTTAATGTTGCGTTTGTGTGACTATAACAAATTAGTGCAATTCAACTTAATTTCTCAGAAGATATGGAACCTAATATTGTCAACACAAATTAAAACGTTCTTTATTAAATAATCTGAGAAGTTTTCACTTGTTTTCAAGTATGATCCAAGCGTATTGCTGGCTAATACATAAATTATCTGGAAATACAGTGCACCAAACCAAGCAATTAAATTTTGATGTCCAAACTGAGATTGTCTAATCGATGAGGCTGAACTTTTCAAGCCCAAACTCCAATCTTTATTAAACTTAACAAGCCACGTCGCTTTTCCGTTTACCTGATTTCCCGCCGAATCACTCGTGACTTCCATTTTCCCAGGGACAAAAAAGAAATACCATTTATCAAGACTTCCGTAAAGTTAGAGAGTTTGCGATTTTTTCAAACAATTAACTCGTGTTTGTTGTGAAAGGAGATAAAGTTTGCTTAAAAAATGACTGCAATCTGATAAATTATGAAGCTTCAGAAAATGAAAAACCCTAAGTAAATCGTTGTTACATTTCAGCTCCTCATTTTACCGGTTTTTTCAAGTAAATTATTTGAATCACGCTAAATTAAAAATGAAAAGAAAAACCAACTTTCAGTCCGTCTGAATAATGGCCAAACTAAAACCCCATCGCGTATAAATGAAGAGGCTAAAAGGATTAGCACTGCACTTTTTCACCTGATAGTAAGATAATATGTGGAGAACTTTTCGTACTTTTGAACAGGTCTCTATCTAGAATAGAGCCCGGCGACCTTTTAATAATGAAGGGGAAAACTCAGCTTATTGTGCATGGGCGCTATTATGGTTTTTAGCTTCTAATTCCATTAGCAGTTAATGGTTAACTATAAAGCAGGCCATTATTTGCGTTATAGCCGTATTTATTGCCTTATTCTAGGGAACGTGCCAGTAAAGATTACAGGCATTTTCCAAAGTTAATATAGAATTGTTAATACCTCTGGAATCTTAATGTTCATCATTTTAACAGCGATAAACAGCAACAGTATCTACTTGTTGAAGAGTTGAATAGAAAGTGCTATTAACTTTCAAACATTTTCATTTTCTGTAAGTCCACTTAAGAAGTTAGCCAGTCCTATACCCAGAAAGTTTTTTCAGTCGGTTTCAATGGGAGTTTTCTAAAAAAGTTGCAGATATTTTCAAAACTTTACCACTCTAAAACGCCCGTAACTATTCGGGTGAAAATGGCACGAAGTCTGAACCAAATACCAAGCCACATATTGGCAAAATGTTGTTCAGCTTGCAAGAGTGGTTAAATATTCAGAAGCTTTTTAAGCTGTGATATCTGAGATTTGAAACATGTTTGCAAGTAAAAACGGGTGCAATTTTGAAGCTGAATCTCCGATAACCCCAGCTAGATGTTGATGAATCGAAAAAATGTATGTGTTTAGGAATAGGAGTCGTTTAATGAGAAATAATCATTTGAAATGAGGACTGTTCATTCTACATCTGCTAAATTCCTTTCTATTTGCATTTCCCACTCAATTTTTGGCCAAAGTTTATTGCCCAAAGAGATAAAGTTGACTGAAAAAATCCTATCACTTAATATAGCCCATACTTTGGAGTTTACAGCTTGGAAAAGACAAGCAAGGAACCCGGTGGAGAATATTTATCCGTAAATAAAGGTGCAAGAAGCGGTTGTGTACATAAGTGGACCGAAAGGAGTTGAGAAGGTCGCCCTAATTGACAATATATATCCTCAGAGGTAGAGAGGTATTTGCATAAAGGACACTTTCAGAAAGTGGCAAGGAAGAAGATATGGAGAAAATTATTTCATCATTCTGTGGAATGGCGGAGGTTTATTCTCGAAAAGGTTAATTGCCTGTAAAAAACAGAAAAATGCAACTAGCAAACAAAGAGAATTTTGAATACAGTTGCTTGATTGAACGACATCTTTACGAAGAAGACAATACTCATTTGCGAGTCTTTGTGTTGCAGCTGACTATAAATACAGCATTAAATGTTGCTTTTAAGAGCCGAATTGAAAACGTACTGAAGCACTTTTGAAGCAATACAATTAGCTATTAAAATGCTCGAAAGCAAACGGGCTTTGACTTGTATTTTCACTGTCCCATCTCTTTATTCGCCAGTTAATGACTTCGGAGCTGTTCTATTTGATTCGGGAGATAAAATGTATGCAAGAACCATAAAAGCAGAAATAATTTACAAAGTATTTCATTTTACAGTCCAGCTCACTCAATGACTGAAACTGGTAGTAAAAATATTACAAATCCAGCCAATACAGCGGGAATATTTGTAATACTGTCTATTGCTTCTATTGCGCGTAGCAATAATAACTTGATCTACGCCCCTCGTAAATAAAATATAGTCGACCAGATGAGGAATAGAGCTGATTGGTCAAATTCGTTATATGCACCTCTTTTTTTGGCAGATAATGCCTTATGAATTAATAGGATCTATGCAGGAACACGAAAATAGGAATAAAACCCCTCTAGTGGAGTTCAATAAATAACTTTGTCCTAAACAAAAATACGTACACCCATAAGTTTACTTCGAATGTAAATTGAGTTTGATCAACGGCTCAGAGGGTCGCATGAAAGAAAACTTTGCAAACGGTGTAACAAAAACAACTTAAGCCCTTTTTATAACCATTCGGCCTAGGTAAGGGACAGTTTCGTACTTGTGTTACACAAAACAGAAATCTGGTTGGTGCCAGAAGCACGTACAAGATAATCTTAGTTCAGATGTTTTCGTTGGCCAATTGCTTTATTTTATTACACAGTTTCCTCCGAATTCAGATGATTTAGTATGAAGGTTATTTAAAACGCGCATTGAATGTTTGGAAAAAATCTAGTAACACAGAAGAGAAAAGCTCGCTTTAGAGTAGACGCGCACATTTATTTTTCCGCCCTTGAACATCGAAAAAATGTGCTAGAAGGCAATAAATCATGTCAAAAATATGCCAAGTGTAGAAGAACTCTCCCGCTTGGAGTACGGACAGGAATGTAAAAGGTTTTTTTCAGGGTTATAAGAGTTTGGATGACAGTATTAATATATCATTTTCAAGATAGCTACAGGTAGAAGTATTCCTTTAGCTACTCGATGGCGGCGTAAAAACAGACAAGGCAGTTGGGCAAAAAGTCGGATTATGTTTATTAATCGCTGGCCCCAAGTACGATGGAATATCGACAGTTTCAATAAGGCACTTTCAAATTTTGTTTCGTAAAAACTATTAATTAAAATAAATTATTACTTACTGCATTGATAATACTTATCGTACATGCAAATCCAGTAAAAATGCCATTAATTTACAAAATAGCAAACATTTTCTTCGCTTAACAGTTGAGATCGTAACCGAATACTTATAGACAGAATGCTACTCTCTACTCTCACCATCTATTACTGGTAAAAGCAAATGTTAACAGGAGGTTTATATTTGATGTAGGAAATAGCGAGAATAGCATTGCTCTTTTGCACAATTTGCGACGATAATGAATCAAAAGCGAAAATAATCGGCTGTTTTCATTGAGTCAAAGTATTCATTTTAATGGCGATGGTTGAAGCGATTTGGAAATATTGGCGATCAAAAAGAGCAATCTCTAAAACGGAAATTAAAGCTGAACAAAAAAGATAATTAATAGCAGAGCAAATAAAGTAAATCAAAATCATAATTGCTACTTTTATACGCAAACAATGCAGCTGAACAAGAAAATGGAAATTGAAAATAGACTTTTGTTCGGCAAATAATCGCTAATTTCGCTTTGTTCGTAAATACGCTTAACTAGTAATTTTGTAAACAAAAAAACTCTTGGCAAAATGTTTTTGATAATTGGATCTTTTTGTGTATACAGTGGATCCCGATTTTCAGGACGGTTGAAATGTCGAAAAAATTAGTTAATTTGTTAACTCAACTTCGCGGAACAGTTACTAAAATTGGAATTTCGACATTGTAAAACTAGGCAGAATGTTTAGTTTATATGAGAGTAAAATGATAACGGCCAAAATATAAGTTACAGCATAAATTTAGATCTGAGTGGATCGCATGAATGAACTCATTCCTGCAAAAAATAGCTGAAATTGTGTCCTAATTAGTTTGTGTTTATTATTGAGCATACATGTGAAACTTATGTTTTAAATAAAAAAAGATTGCCGAAAAAACTTCATTTGCAAGTCTTTAGAAACTTGCAATAAAAGGAAACAGAAAAAATTCGGTAAGTCTATAGAGGCCGGTACAAATTGGTAATTATAGTCTCCAATTTTATTTCGGTACACATGTTTTACTATTATGAATTGTAAGTAAAACACATTCAACAGATGTAGCTCTGAAAGTCATGAAAATCTGTAACACCTCTGCTTGGATAAATGAAAGAAATCATCCTCACGCTTACCTTTCATATTTGTTATTGCAATTGGTATAATATTGTACAGTTTTGGTCCTATATACTATACAATGTTCTTATTCTTCTGCTATCAGTATTTAGCAGATGATTCCATTTTTCCTCTTGTATTAAAAGATTGTGAATTAATTTTCAAATTTATTGGTATAGCACAACAGAGAATTTCCGAAAAGTGAAGTAACTCAAATGTTCTTACAAAATTATTCAATTCCGTTTTTCTCAGAATTGTTTTCCGCTTTTTCTAAAGTGACTGTTATGGAAGGAACTAACTAAGCTCAACAACAAAATAACGTGTTTCCACAACTATTCTTATGACATTAAAAGACACAAAGTTATAAATCATCTTGGGTGAAGATGCCGGGAACCTTTACATTTGTCACTAATATAATCTTTAGTCTAGATTAATAAAAAATTGCGTGGCAATGAAGTATTTTATTAAGTGACTATTAGAATTAATTATAATTAAACAAATTAAATGCATGTGATAATGCTGCGTGTATCAGTGGTTTGCTCCCAAATTCAATTTTAAAAGGTGATTTTTACTCTCGCTCACTTTTTCCGCAGCTATTCAAAAAAACTTTGAGCTTTGCAGTAATGTTCCGTAATTGCGCTGGAGCTTATACACGCACCGAATACAAACATGCAATTTGTTCTTCTAAAGGAAGTTTTCAATACTACAAATCGCAATATTCTGCTAGTCGTCGGCTCATAAAAAAATCAGTTCGTTGTTAAGCTATGAATGAATATCTTTACTTTCATAAAAATTATATATTTCTTTTAAAATATGATCCATATTTTTGGAATCCCGGTTTTATCAAAATTTTAATTTACCTCAGTTCAAATAATTATTGTATTGGAGGCAAAACGCATGGGCAAAAGTGGCTTTATCAAGTATATTCGTTCCGGAGCGTCTCTCAATACCACAGTAATAGAGAACTTAGACAACATTTTGGTAATTGGATTATGAAATAATGCAAAGTCTCAAAAGAAGAAAAACAACGACGAACTCATTCTGAAACAATAAGCTATTTATTTCTGTGCTTGCATTCGATAATCTTTCAGCGGAGGCCTCGCAACCTCCAAATTCCCCTGCGAATTTTATTTTTCCCAATTTGTTGCCTTATTTGATGGGGGATTATAGGAATACGGGCTCGTTAGAGCCGAGCTTCGCATAAGTCAAAATAAACGCCGCTTTCAAGACATTATTTTCAAACTTCGCTTGACGATATATCTGCTGGCGGGAAAGGGCCTAAGTTTGTTTCAAAACTAAACTAATAACGCACGGTTCTTTTTCAAAGATACGTGTTTTGACAGCAACAAATTCCCCACTTGCTTATCT